GAGAGATACACTGGCACGCGCACACAGGCGCTCACACGCAACGCACACACAGTTGTGCGTAAAAACACACGCTCATACAGGCGTATACACGCACACACAGGGCGTTCACACGCGCACACAGGCGCTTCACACGCGTCCACACAGGCGTTACACACGCCACACACAGGCGTTCACAACGCGCACCAACAGGCGTTACACACGCACACACAGGCGTTCACACGCGCACACAGGCGTTACACACGCACACACAGGCGTTCACACGCACACACAGGCGTTCCACAGCGCACACACGAGGCGTTCACACGCACACACAGGCGTTCACACGCCACGCACACACAGGCGTTACATTACGCAGACACGCGTCGCCAGGCGTGTATGACACACTGCCGACGCACGACGCCGCTCGCTACGCACGCGCACACACGCACGCCACACGCGATTACGGGCACGCACACGCGATTTACGCACACCGTTTGCGAACACGCACACGCGCCACGAAACACGCCGTTTGCGAAACACGCACGACGCGTTCACGCACACGCGGTTACGCGCACGCACACGCCGTTACGCGCACGCACACGCGTTACGCCACACCGTTGCGACACGCACACGCCGCACGAACACCGTCGCGAAACACGCGACACGCTTACGCCACACGCGTTACACGCAACGCACACGCGTTACAGCGCACGCACCGCGTATACGCACCGTTTGCCGAACACGCACACGCGCACGAACACGCGTTGCGAACACGGCACACGCGTTACGCACACGGCGTTACGCGCACGTACACGCGTTCTTTACGCGGCACGGCACACGCGTCACGCACACGCCGTTGCGAACAACGCACACGCGTGACGAACACGCGTTGCGAATACGCACACTGACACGCGTTACGCACACGCGTCACGCGCACGCGTTGCTGGCGTATTGACGCGCTGACACACGAACACACATACATATTTGCGCGAGATCACTCAATCCTCGTTCATAAGGAGTTTGGCAGCAATCATCAAGCTGCTGTCGTTTAGGTATGTGCGAAGGTGCGCGATGACTAATTAACTCTTGCACGGGACGCGCATAATGTCGAAAGAAATGACCAAACAATGAATTGAATGACGGGGTATAATTTACAGCGACAGTTAACTTAGACATAACGAGAACTTAGACTATACTGGCCAAATAAAGATCAGCCTTACATACCCGGCGGTGAATATGCTCCCGTCAGTCTCGATCGGTTGATGAAAACGTAAGTACGATTGATGACCACGATCGCGTATTGTGATGAGGCACGCTGTACGTAATAGTGGGCTAGTAGCATCGCGGGGAATGATGCTCGCAGAAACCCAGTTTCGACCGCCCCTCTCACGGAAACCAAATGTAACGATTATGTTTAACGATTTACTTGTAGTTATAGATTGTGAGTCGTATTCGTAGCCAAAAGACATAGTGAAAGACAATCAAAGAATAATATACCTGACTAGTTGTATTAATTTAGACTCACACGAAGCACTTTACAATGTACAAGCGGTCGCGTCTGGCATCGAAGGAGCATTCCCGATTTTCTGCTCGTCTGCCAGACCGTTCTATAGGTGTCGCCATTGCGCGCGTGCATGCTCAGCCACGGCCGCCGTGCGCCAATCACCGCGTCCGTCTCATCTACCGTTCGCGTTGGCTTCCGCTTGGCTTCACCACCTTTGCTCTGGATGGGCGGCACCTAACGGGGAAAGACCCGCTATTCTGTGCCCCCACCCTCCAGGAAGGTGGCCGCCGTCTATTCGCAGCGAACAGCCTCCACGTGCGCCTGAACATGCCGCCTGCTTTCTGCGTTGATAGAATTTCACGCCTGATTAGCGGCAACGAAGCCTCTTGAACTAGATTGCATGCGATGACTGGCTTAGCTCTCTCTCTCTTTTCTCTCCTCGACCACCCTCTCTTTCTTCTCTCTCTTGCTCTCTCTCTCTGCAAGAAAAAAATGTTTTGCTGAAAGGATGCGCAATGCGTATCTGCATGTCTGCGCCTAACAAAGGCCCGTCACTACACCACGACTCGAAAAAATTGTTACGTTCTTAACCATAGCAACAGACCTTCGATGGAGCCCAGATGCTCTGCGCGCTTCTGCTTGTGCGACTCACTACACTTATACTGAACGTTCTAGCCTTTTGAAAAATAAAACTAAAAATATGTATCAAGCCTATATATTCCCTCAAGCGAAAAAAATACTCGAAAAAACACGCTTTCACCGTTAGGTATCATTGGCGGGCAATAGTCGACACATGGTCACGTAACCAGCACAGTTCATAGATATCATATAACACCGTGTTATATGATATGTTATGAATATCTACGAGCCATCACACATCGCCGGCAGATCGAGCCGGCAAAAGTAAACGCTGTTTGAAACATTTCGAACCGAACACTTTCCTTTTGTAGTCTACAGCGGGCCGTAAATCCGGGAGATTGGGGGAATGGCATCCCCCCTGCTCTTTGGAAAAGGGAGGGTCGGGGAGGCCTGTACAAATATCCCCCCTGAGATTCAAAAAAGAGACGAGAGAAAAAAGAATAGCCAAAAAGTATGGTTGCAAACATACAAAACACCCGTGCAAATTCGTGCAGAAATTGCAATTCTTACCGGTGTTTTAAGTACATGTATTATTACTATCAGTAACCTAACTGGCTACGCTCTCTGAAAGTCATGGAAAAGTGTTTTGAATTCAACTTGTCGCGGTGAGATAGTGTCAGCAACATGAGAATATGGCCCACAGTATGCCTCGATTGCAGGAAAATGGTCTTAAATATCTTCAAAAATTTCTGGTGGGCATGCCCCAGTCCCCCTAGCACTGGCATGCTTACAGCACGCAGGCTGCAGGCGGCAGCCAAGCGCTTAATTTCGTCCCCGGGCTAGCGACCGATCATCTCCCCCCCACTCCTCGGTACGGAATATTAACGCCCCTGGTAGTCTAATAAGCACTTTGAATGAATGTATTCCTGAGCAATATTCTTTACCTGCTCACACATAATTTATATAGCAAGTACAAACGGCTGCAATTGTTAAAATAATTGTCTCATTTTTTGCCTGATTTCATGTTTTCCACTTGAAATTTCGAGGGGAGGCACCTTTAAGTTCAATAAAATCAATGACTGACACTAATTATAATACTACATAAGGCATGCTGACCACTAGTTAATATTTTATCATCTAGGTCTAAGTGCAGCTAAGCTATTGTCAGAGCATGGCAGGATGTACTTGTGCTGAGGCTAGAGACAGAGTTGGCGGAAGAACATACACAGTCGGTATTTACATATTAAAATTATAGCTACTACGTTTTAAATGCACTATAGATGCATATCATTATTTTTACTAAGATGAACATTGCTGTTTTAGTAAGGATTGTGCAGTGTATGTGTTAAGTACAGTTTTGCAGGGACAGGTTGCTACACCTGCCATGCCTATAACTGCTTGCTATAATAGTTGTATAGAAATATGCAGAGCAGTAAAACCTTGGCTTATTTAATTGAAAAAGATCATTTTATAGTATGTGTGTGCATTATGCAGATCCAAAACTATGGGATACACAGACTTTGGTGGAGCATATGTGGGACCAACACAGAACAGGGTCTTACGGTTGGCAAAAGAACTTGGTCTGACTTTCTACTATGTAAATGAAAAGGAGTTGAGCATTGATTATAGAAAGGTACGTGTATATATAATCTAAAAGCAGAAGCAAAACGCATGTTTTTGGCATTACTGTAGTGATAGACATATTTGGTTGAAAAACAGGTTATTTTATTTTCTCCATTATTGATTCAATTATTTGATTAATAAAGACTTACTTACTTCACAAGACTTGTTCTAAAATAATTATACCCCCCGCCAACGAAGGGCCTGTCTGTGTGTCTGTCTGTGTGTCCGACACCAACATTGTGCATAGAACTCCTCGAAAAGTACTGTACCGATTTCAATCATATTTGGTACGCATCATCAGTACCCAAGGTAGTTGTCGACCTGCGATTAATTTTTTGGGTCTTGACATCGCGTTTCCGCTAAAAATAAACCCATTTGGTTATATATGACATATGCTGACACCGTCCAGAGAGACATGATACAAGATTGCGTGGCACAGCTTTGCTGTTGATCCTGAGCGCTCGCGCGGATGAGGACAGCGCAGTTCCGCGCCGATATGCGCACGCGACCGCGTGGTGATGTGCAAGGATGAGCGCTGTCGCCGGGGAGACGGCTGCGCAAATTCGAGCCCGGCGCACGTCTCCACAGCGGTCAGCGGATGGTCTGTAGTTTTAGAAGATAAACAATGAAGACTTGTTCTAAATAAGAACTTATCGGCTGGCTTAAATAAAGAGCAATATACAGACCTGTTGAATTTCTTGACTACGTCAGGTCAAAGGGCTTGTTGGGGCTCCATTATGCAGAGTTCCAATTGAAATGGCCCATGAAATTTGTCAAGTGAGAATTGCTGATTTTCAGATACCCAAAGAAAATTGTCTCCCCTTACTTGCCACCCCTCCCTGGAATCAATCACGCATTTCTGTTCAGGCCGTCAACAATAACAGAGCATGAAAATTGTGTTGATGTTTGTGGCTCTTATACGCACGTGATTGACGTACAGACTGTTGGAAAGCACAGGCACTTGGAACGTCTCAAAGAAAATAAATATTCAGACAATTTCTGAGCTCATCTGACGAAGTCCGATTGCAGCTTGTAGAATCGCATGATCGTCCGTGCGTCCGTCCGTCAACAGTTGGCGCACAAATCTTAACGGCTCGACGTACGCGATACGATAAGTCGGGACATGGGGGTAATCCGAAAACGCAGTTGGAATATCGAAGCTGGGGCGTCAAAAGCGTCAAAGGTCAAAGGTCAAAGAGGTAAAAGAAGGGGGAACATTCCCTCCTTAATCTAAGCGTTATAGGGAAGGAAATGCCAGAATTGCGGCACAAATCTAAACGGCCTTCGACCTAGCTCGGTGATAGGTCGGTGTATAGGCATCATGTAGGAGAAAGCCATCGCTGTGCTGAAATTGGACGTCACATGCGTCAAAGGTCAAATGGCCACAGGGCAGATTTTAGACATTTTTCTGAGGACATGTTTCTGACGGAGCGCATCTGAAAAACTTTTTTGTCTTCAGCAGCTTGACCTACCATTCTTTATTGCGCTTTATTGAAAGCGACCATGAATGTGCTTTCACTGACGTCTTGCGAAAGAAGTAAGTGGTCTCGATAACCTCTTTGACCCTCAAGAGGGGTTAACATGGGATTCCTTGAACTGCCTCAATCGATGTGCACAGTGTTCTCATATATTTATTAGGCACATCACATTAATCTGGAAACCCAATGATTGCAAACGGCACAGCCACAGGGATTACGACTCAAAGGTTCCTTGGATCGAATCCCATGCAGATTTTTATTATTTACCTGCTTTCTGTATTTTCTATCTTTATCCATTTAAACTTATATTCTTTCCAATTAAAGAAATTAATTTACATGATTTAGTTCACAACAATTTCATGGACAACAAATAAATTTTACAAAAAAACCCCCAAAATTTTTTTATAACAACAAATAATTTTTACAATTAAATATAGTATTTTTTTTTAATAGCGGTTAAGCGTTAGGGCGTCACCAATGCCACCATAAAACAAGAGTTTCAGGCACGGATTTTGTATCAACTAATGGATTTGGGACGGTATGCAGAAATGGCAGAAGGTTGCCCTGAAAATGATAGTGTACGCAACTGCGTATCTGGCCATGATCCGCGCCTAACAAAGGTGTCACTACGCACAACTTAATGTTACTTTATAACCATAAACAACAGACCTCAGTGCACCCACGACGCGCTGCGGCTCTTGTTTACAATGATGACCGCCTGTGTGCCAAAAAAATAGCGTGAACGTATGTGAAACATATACGGTAGTACTTACTGTGACCATATATCCGTGACGTAACGCGACACCACTAAATTGCTGGTAAAAGTGTTTCATGCACCTTAAAAAATGCCATTGAGAAATTACGAGGTTATTATCGTCAGACTCCCTCGAAACACCCTACGTCACAAAGTATATGTAAACAAAACGCGTGTTGCGAGTGCCTGCTCCGATATCCATTGGCGAGGCCGCCTAAGCACAAGCATAAAGCGCGCAGGCAAGACGTCACACACACAGCTATGCTTCATTGAGCTAAAACAATCCGAGTTAGCGCGGTTAGGATTTTCGGAATTATTCTGAATTAAGAAAAATGTCAGATGAATGACGCCACTCGTTCACACTTCGACAGTGAGTGGAAAATGCCTAAAATTTCTCCCACTTCGATTGCGAATGCATCGGCCGGCCGGGCATTGGTTGGTGATGTTACGAAAAAGTAAACAGGTCTGGGGCGAAAGGACAGAGGTACAGCACTGGTCACGTCGGTGACGCCCCATTTCAGCTCCATCAACCGAAAGAAGGCGGCGTTTATTCTGCACTAACGGAGTATGCGAAAATGCAACAGAAAGGGACTAGCGCAGTGGCGCCCTAAAAACAGCGTGTTATTTTCGTATTTGGGCAAACTTCTATTCGTAGGAAACCGTTCTACATAGCAGAAATTGCCTAGTTCCTGAGATCGGCGATTGGTGGCTCCAATGGCGTCCCCATCTTATACAATATCAAAGTCTGGTGCGGCGGAGAGGCTGTGATTGGAAGACACAAAAGTGTCAATCCTCTGCGCGCCTCAGCTATCATCGGCCGCAATTCACGCTCCAGTGAGACATGATACAAGTTTGCGATTTGCACAGCTTGGCTGTTAGATCAGAGGCGCTGAGCATGCGCCGACAACACGCGCTAGTTCCATATGTGTTATAATCCATCTCTCTTTCTTCTCTCTCTCTCTCTCTTCTTCTCTTCTCTCTCTCTTCCTTCTCCCTCTTCCTCCTCCTCGCCCTCCCTCCCTCCCTCCCTCCTTTCCTCTCTGGTATTCACTGTGTGGGTGTGTGTGTGCGTGCGTGGTGTGTGCGTCGCGTGCGTACGATGCGTGCGTGCGTGCGTTCATGCGTGTTGTATGTGCTTTGATGTTTGTTGTCATGGTTTCACTCTGCGTTTGCTCGCGCTTCTGTGGCAGCTGTTTTCCCATAAAGCCGTTCCGGTTGACAAATTCTACAATTACACATACAGGCCACAATAAACAGCTCGCAGCGGGGGATTATTTAGTCCCTCTCTGAACAATCATTTCTAGTTTAATATCAAAGCGATCGCCATACCAGGGTAGAAATAAGTAGAGAAAAAGAGATCGTTCCACAGGACCATCTAGTTTGAAATTTAGTATGGGTCCTCCTAAATTTTAGATGGCTCGTTCCTTCCCTAAATTTCAAATGGTCTCTAAAAGTAATGCGGCGTGCAAGAAATTTACCGTAAAATGGACCAAATATTCAATGGTCTGTTCGGCCCATTGACTTTAATTTGAAAATCTGATGGTCCTCCTGATTATTTAATGGCCTCGGACCATCGGACCATCGCTTATTTCGACCCCTGCATACCTGAGCTTGTTCAGCATATTTGGATTTGGATTTTCTTTAGGGTAAGAGGAGAATGTATCAGGGCACAATCCCACCAGTGTGGAACCCGTTGGTCCTGCTAGACCTCAACAATGTCATGAGAGAAGTGGATGCATTCGCTAAGTTGGTACATGCATTGAACGTTTGTTGTGTATAATAGTATAGAAAAATGTCATATTATTTATCTATCCATTATCACACTATGTGGGCAGTGCATCTGTAAAGTGAATAACCTTAGAATGAAGGTGCGCAGTGGATTTTAGTTAGAAATATATAATCCTTCTTAATAAATCCGGAACCTGGGTAAGTGATCCTGCTGCTATCAAAATGTTGAGTTAGTTGCAGCTTTAATCTTGTACAGAAACGTTTCCTGACATTATTATAAATTGGGACTTGTACTACATAGACCTATTAGAGTGCATAAGCACCAACTGATAAATATGCTCACTCACCATCATTGGTTAGACCAAATAAAATTCTAGGTCTGTTTCTGGTTACCCAACTGACTAGAGATACAATGCTGACCCTAAAGTTGTTATCGCATCTGCAAGGAAAATGTTTTTTGTCACCGCCCACCAACTGTAATGTACGTTGATGGTTGCTCAATTAAAACTGACTTCTTCTCACTCACTCATTTGTGTCCTTTTTTGTGGTGAGCTACAGTGTCATTGACACTTTCATTTTTTTATCTGATCAGTGATTTAGTGACATGTGACAGTGATTGAGAATCACTTACCAGGAAGCATTGCGGTTAATCATGTGCTGCTTCATGTGATTAATGAGTGATTAAATGTGGAGCAGTTGCACACAATCTGAAATCACTGGCTTTATAGGCTCCTCCACGGTTCCATTGGTGTGAAAACAATGGGCTTGTTTGTTCTATATATCACAGGGAGTTACCGTGAGCATAAAAATATGATTGCCAATCTAAAGTTATCCAAGTGATTTAATAAAACGATTTCAGAAAATGAAATGTTTTTCACAACCCACCGACCTTGAATTATGCCAAAAACACACCTACAATTTTGTTTGAAATATGAAATATGAATATAGTCATTCTATTGTGTGTAATGTGTATGTGTTAATTGATAAATTTAGTTGTTGGTGTGCACACAAACAGGTGTGAGTTTAAAGTGGCGGTTTCATATCATTCGTATATAACTATTTGTAGTATTATAGGTTCCAGTTGATGCACCGTGGAGTGCAGAGAGGGCCGTGGAGTGGGATTCCATGACAGTGAAAGAGTACATCAGTAAAGCTTGCTGGTTTAGGTAAGTCCATCCCACCATATACGCACGGGACAATATTGATATCTAAAACAGAGATATGTAGACACTCGCATGAATGTTTGAGTAAATACATGGTTTGTGTTGTGTGTGAATATATATAGATATTTTTAGATTTCTTTTCCCACAATTGACTTTTCAAGTGGCTGTGATTTTCTTTTATGTTTGTGATGGGATTTTACAGCTGCACGGCTTCAGTTATGCGCCTTGCAGTTTCTTCCTTGCTTACATCTGAACCACACGAGCTGTCCTTTCTCAGCTTTCTGTGGTACATTCACTCCGGGCAAGGCATTCTGAGAATGGCAAACATAACTAATGGGGCACAGGTGAATACATGCAACCCTTGTATGTTTAATATGGGACTTGATAATGGGGGGCAGTGGTTAGTCTGTTAGTTTGTAGTGTAGGTTCATGGGGCTCACGATTCTTTCATTAGAAGATTCATCATTCGCTTTTACTCAAGCTTGGGAAGCACAGCACAGCATTTATCTGCACCAAATTCTAACTGAATAAACCTTAAATGCATAGTAAGGGTCAAGTGGATGTAACGAGCGTGAATGTCCCAACATATATAGAAATTTGTCATTATTTACAGTTAAAGTC